TCTGCTGGCCCCCACCTCCTGCCTGGGCTCCCTTGCACTGATGGAAAAGCTTAAAAGACCCAAACCCCCCCAGCCTGAGGTTTGCCAGCACTGCTGGAAATGCTCTAAGGAGGAATTTCTTCTCGCCTACTAATTTATTTTATTTTGAGACAGATAATGCTTACCTCCTTGCCCATAAGGAGGAATTTCTTCTCGCCTACTAATGTGGCTCAACTACAATCTGATACGTGTTTCTCTTTCTATAAGTAATTTAAATAAATAATAATAATAATCAGTGTGAATTTGTGGTTGAGCCACATTATTACTAGTAGGTAAGGAGAAGTTCCTCCTTATGGAGAATGAGGGAAGCATTATTATTTTGAAGCAATCTAAAGCTTGGCACAGTATACGGCATAGAGAAAAAAGATAATTTGACATGTATGTAAAAATGATTCATCAAAAACATAAAAAAGAAAATCCCATGCGTTGTAGTCTTCAAATTTTGAAGCCAAGCATGGCCATGAGACTGAGAATCGTTGCACAAGCAACGGCAAGGAGGCCTCTCTCTTTTATGATCACCCTGAACAAGTAGATTGCGACATCAGCGGTGATGAGCTTCCCGCGTCGAACCAAAACCCGACGATGATTCCCGGCAAATGTTAGCAGCACAAGCACTGTGATCCACGCCATCATGGTCGCCCGTGCCGCGATCACAACCAATGCTAGTACCATCAACGCTCCCAGAACTGGGAGTAAGAGGACTGTGATGTGGTCATTGTGGTCATTGTAGAACAGGAAGACCCACAGAGATGCCAAGAAAGACAGCAAGAACGTGGCGGTTGCAGCTGCTTGTGTTGTGGACAAAATCATGGCTGAGGCTGAGGCTGGGGGATGGGTGAAAACGAAGGAAGGATCGATCACCAGGAATGAGAGAAGGATTTGGGGTTAGTTTTTAGTTGTGTTAATTATTTTGGTTGAATTGGCAATAATGAAGGCTGTGCGCGCACATGGGTGGGTTGGCAATGACATGGTAAATGAACCCACCAACCAACCAAGCTCAACATATATATGATGGTGGTCCTTAATTGCCAGCGGGGAATTATATATATGTGATATAACGTGCATGAATTCCCTATATATATATATATATATATATATATACACAATTCATTCATCGCTTTGCTTCAGTAAGAGCTGGAGATAGACGCATACAGAAGAAATGGACCAAAACCAAAAGCAGCTAGCCTCCCCACATCTTTCATGGAGACTCCGTCTCTTCCTATCCTCCTTTTCCTTCGCCGTAGACGCCTCTCGCCGCTCAAACGGCACTCTCAACCGTCGTTTCATCAACCTCCTGGACTTCAAATCCCCTCCTCTAACCAAACCTCACAAAAACCTCAAAAGCTCTGACGTCATCGTCGACTCTTCCCGCAACCTCTGGTTCCGCCTCTACACTCCCACCGCCTCCGCATCCGCCACCACCCTTCCCGTCATCGTCTTCTTCCACGGCGGAGGGTTTGCGTTCATGGCCGCCAACTCAAAACTCTACGACGACTTCTGCCAGAGGCTCGCTCGCGAACTCCCAGCCGTCGTGGTCTCCGTCAACTACCGCCTCACTCCGGACCATCGGTATCCGTGCCAATACGACGACGCATTCGACGTCTTGAAATTCATGGAGAACGACGGCCACTACTTTGAGGGCGCGAATCTCAAACAATGCTTCCTCGCGGGAGACAGTGCAGGTGGAAACATAGCGCACCACGTGGCGCTCAGATGTAGCGGACACGTGTTCCAGAATTTGAAAGTTGTTGGGATCTTGTCGATCCAGCCGTTTTTCGGAGGAGAGGAACGGACGGAACCCGAAAGGAGGCTGGTGGGAGTGCCGGTAGTGAATTTGGAGCGGACGGACTGGATGTGGAGGGCGTTGTTGCCGGAAGGGTCGGATCGGGATCACCCGGCGGCGAACGTGTTCGGACCCAAATCGGAGGATATATCGGGGTCGGATTATCCGGCGACGATTGTGTTCTTGGGAGGATTTGATCCGCTGCAAGAGTGGCAGAAGAGATACTACGAGGGGTTGAAGAAAAGCGGGAAAGAAGCTGAGCTGGTATATTATCCGAACGCCATTCATACTTTTTATGTTCATCCGGAGTTAGAAGAGTGTGCTGCTTTTTTTAACAAAGTCAGAGATTTCGTGCAATTGCAAATTGTAAGCAGACGGAACATAAAATAGGATATCATTCAGGAGGATGATATCATATATGAATGGTAGGGGCATCCATGGTAGTTTTGTTTAAGTGGCTAGTTAATGATTTTCTTGCAATTTTAGTCAAAAATAATTTAAGGAAAGAATTCCGATTACCATTCCAGATAGCTCTCTCGTAGAAAACCTTTCATCTCAGAGGCGGTTTGTAAAAGCCTTTCACCGAATCACGTCATGTGATGAAAAAGATAAGACACAAAGCTATAGTTAAGGGAAGTCTCACAGACGAAGTTTTTCTCCACATGTAATGGCTCAACACCTGATAGGCATGCTTGATGTCCACACACGAGAGATATATGAGATTTGCAAATATTATAGCTTTCTTAGTGCAGAACATTATATACAGCTACATAGGTCTGTTGAAACGCTATAATTATCAAGCTAAAGATACAAATATTGCATAATTTCCCCCAAAAAACAAAAAAACTCCGATATTGCATTGAAAATTCAGCTCCGTACTCTCCAAATCCAAGTTCAATAAGTAAAGCCCTCCGGTTCTCATCTATGGGTTCGTTGTATCAAGCACTACTGTTGTGCACTTCGCTTCCACCACAACAATCAACAACGCCATCACTTCCAATCTGAAATCACCTTCTTTTCACCATATGACGTTTCTTGGGTTCTTTTCAGGGGGGAAAAACTACAATATTTTCATAAAGGAATTAACTATTTACAACTCAATGAAAATTGGATAATAAATCACAAGAAAACCATAGACGGAAATTTTGAATCAAATGTATTAACACTACCGGAAAAATAGTATCGAGGGTATCACAGGTCTTTAACTGTTCGGACACAAGTCATTACATGATTGTTGATATAAATGCTGAAAAAGCGAAAGTTTCAAAGGAAACATAAGTTTTTCCCTTTTATGTCAATCTAACAACAGGACTAACATTGTTCATCATGAACGTAGTAGTGCTGGGAAGTTTTTTTTTTCCCACCTAAAGTAATGGTAGTTATCTCTGTATTAGCTATTCCTAAAAGAAAGTTACCCTAAGAATAATATAAATGAGAGACAAAGCACCTATCAGTTTATTGAAAAACTAAAATAATAGATAGCTGGCCAGCACCTATATGTCTGCCATAAGACAGTACGATATGGCTACTTGTCCTAGTCAAAATAAGAATAATTTACCCTATGTTGCTCTTACTACCATCAAGAAGAATCAAGTATACCAACCTTTCTCAACCACTCATCTCCTGGTTTTATCAAGAACCTCAATGAATCTCTTTGGGATCCCATATTGTTCAATCATATGCTTTGCCAGATCATCAATCACACCACCTTGAACCACAACCTCATGCCCTTTCTTACCTGAAAAGAGAAATATAAATGTATGTTCATAAGAAAACCTAGGAAGGGATCCTCAAGAAGCCACAATAAGTACTATTCCCAGACAACCAAACTTGCAAGATGCATTTCGTACTATCGGAGAAATTGTATCGTCATACAATAAACAAGAAGAAACAACATTTACATGACTAATAGGAGCA